AGAGAAATGGCAAAGAGTTGCTACGAAAAAGTCACCAAAACTGCCCAGGAGGAAAACTTCAGCTTCTTTTCTGTTCTTTTCTTTCAATGGATGAGCATTATATTGAAGACGGGAAATGAACGAGCTATCGAAAAAGAGGATCTTTTGCCTCTTAAAGAAGAAAACACTACCTCCTTTCTGTCCGAAAAGCTTCAGTCAAGTTGGAATCAGGAAACAGACTCCGGCAAAAGATATTGTAAAGGACCTAAACTGTGGAAAAGTGTGTTGAAGATTATTTCAGTTAAAGAGGCCATCATTATCACTTTAACTGGCAGTCTACGTACATTTTCTAATATTCTCCAACCATTGCTTCTGGGATATCTCCTGGAATCTCTAAGGAATGCTGAACAAAAGCATAATTATTTTGTGTATATCTGCGCATTGGGAATTGGAATAAATGAATTGTTCGCTGCTCTCAATGTTCACCATTTTTCTTTCCAATGTGAGATGCTTGGTATCAAAATCAGTGGTGGCCTTAAAGGATTAGTCTACAACAAGGTAAGTACAACATCAACGTTACGTTACGTTAATCTGTTACGAGCGCAATACGTGATTTCAAAGAGCAATGTCTCTTCTTTTGTAAATGATCAGTGTTCAGTGCATCTACGTGTAATTAAACAATGCTTACCCCGACCTAGATTATTCTGGATATCACAAAACCCTTATCAAATAAATGTTTATTATTTTCCCCTGTGTATACTCCGTTATGTAACAGCCGATTGCAGAAACTGCTGACTTTTAGTGCAAGGGCGTAACTAAACGTAAGCTCGGAGAATTACGTACGTGCAGACCTTAAACCTCGAAGAATTATGGTGAAAAAAGAAACACGCGCACAATAGAAAACACGGCAAAGAAGTAAACGTAGAGAGATCAAACAGTGTAGTGGATAAGAGTCTCCTAAAATGACGGCAAACTGTTAAAGGAACAAGAACATCGTACACTGAAAAAAACTGAAAGCAACTGAACTCAAGTTTTTAATTTTTTTTCCGAAGATTTAATACACTTACTTTCCCTTTTTTATTTAATTTCCAAAATGAAATCTTAAATCTTAATTACAAGACTCAGTGAGACTTTCGTGAACATTCGCTTGAACATTTAATACCAAACAATTTAATGACAACCAAGAAAGTTCGAAAGTTCCTTCAAGCCCCGTTAAAAGGGAATCAGTGAAAGATAAAGAAATATAAGGTACTTTTTTTATCTTAATTTGGGCTTCTTGCGGGCTCCAGCTTACCCAATTTTAAATGACGATCAGAATTTTTAGTTTGTTTTCTTTTAGCCTGTTCACAGACCCTCTATTTTCTCTTCCCTCTACTTTCTCTTCAAAGTTCGTCGAGCGCGCATGATAAAAAAGCAAAAACCGCGGGAGATGCGGTATATTTGCTTGGAAACGAGGTTGATCGATGACATATTTGCCTGGAAACGAGGCTGTTTGGGTAATATTGAACGAAAATGAAAAAAGCGTTTACAAGAAATAGCTGAAGTTCTGACCAAAACTGAGCGGAAGAAGTGCAAGAATACGCAAAAAATATTGTTCGTTGGATCAGTGTTATATGCTTTTTAAGTAGATGACACTTTTACTTGCAAGAAAAAAGATGTTTATATCTAGCCCGCGTAACAGGCGTTCGAAAAGGAAGGGGAAGGTAACTAGTTTGGCTCGAGACCCACCTCTTGTGCCCGAAGCCCCTTCCCTTTCAAACGCCTGCCACGCAATTATATCCTGAAAGCGTGCCGAGAAATGAGCTTAAGTCTTGATGAAAGTCTATGAGGAGGTAAGTAAGCTCTCGTTTCAAAACAATCTTTAAAAAATGTTTGAATGGATAATAAACAGATATTTAATTCGGCTTTCGTATGATGTGCAGAATTGTGCTGATCACGAAGGCTGTTATAGGCCGAGGTGGATAGCATTCTCCTCGATCTGCATAATTCTTCAAATCATACGAAAGTGTCATTCACTGAATAGTTGTTAAATATTGATTTTTGATTTTTGCTGCATGTGTAGACGGTACTAGGCTCTCATTATTAATAAAAATGCTCCTTTGTGGTGCCACTTAACATGTTAATAAATTTATCACTTCTGTTTTGCAGACGCTTCTTTTAAGCAAGGATTCCTTGTTAAGGTTTTCAACTGGTCACGTGATTGATCTTGTATCCAACGATGTTCAGCGACTTGAGGCAGATACGGTCAGGTTGTTTCTCGTTATGCCTTTTTCTATTCTTCAGCTTGTGGTGATCTCCTACTTACTCGTCCATTTTATTGGCTGGCAGACTTCAGTGGGAATCATTTTTCTGTGTTTACTCCTGCCATATCTCGGTGGACTCTCCTCTGCTGGTGCCACAATACGCTCTCGCACAGCTGCAGTTTCTGATCGTCGCATTTCGTTGATCAACCAAGTTATTTCTGGGATTCGTGCCATCAAGTCATATGCATGGGAAAAAGAATACAAACAAAAGATAGGAGATATACGAAGGTAAGAAAAAGATATCTGCTTAGACTACTCATGAGTTAGTGAACAATTAGAATATCATTCATTCAGTAATTCAGTCTGCAATTGGTTATTGCTAATAACTGAACAAAATGTAGCTTGAAGTTATAAGTACGACATTGAAAATTAATTTCAACGGAGACCTTTACTATGAAAGACATTTAATTGTTTCAATAACCCCAATAAGTACCACGTGACAGCATATGAGACAGCTGCATTTTTAAAGATCAGAATTCCTAGAAAATTGTCAGCCCTAATGGTCAATTGATTTATAATCACTGCTTATTCTAGCTAAGCTTAGCATAGATACAGTTATCAGTAATACCATAGATTAAATCTCTAAAACGCTTTGACATTTTATGCAGTCCGTGAAAGAGCCAGCATTGGAGCTGTGCAATGTCGTTCTTAACTTAATTTTTGGTAGTCAAACGTTGCTTCTTTTGGTCAGTGCACACATACATTTTTATCTTTCAGAAACGAAATAAGCTTCATTCTGAAGAAGAGTGCCGTTTTATCGGCCATTGCTGCATTGGAGTATACTTCGACACCAATGGCGACCATGCTGACAATCATCACACTGTCACTGACTGGACATCCCCTGACACCAGCAAACGTATTCATTTTGCTTTCCTTTATCAATTTACTACGTCAGAACTTCTGTATAAACGTCGCGTATGGTTTGCTTCAGTCATATGATGCTTATGTTTCCCTAAACAGAATTCAAGACTTTCTTCTTTTAGACAATTTAACTTCAACTACCGTTACGAGAAAAGGCCTAGAAGAGAACGAAAATTGGCAAGATCCTCACAAGTCAACAAAATTAGAACAGGATATTGTCTTACTTGTGGAGAGTTCCACGATACAGGAGAAAGATAAAGATGACGGATTTGGTTCACAAAAAGTAGCTACTAAGAAAGGGAGTTTGATAGTCATTACCGGGCCAGTAGGGAGCGGAAAATCAACTCTTCTCTCAACTATCGCTGGCGAAGGAACAACCAAAAATATAAGCATTACCTGCAGAGGATCTATTATCTATGTGCCACAGATACCGTGGTTATTCTCTGGAACTGTAAGAGATAACATTTTGTTTGGCGAGCCCTATGAAGAATCCAAGTACGCAAGAATCATCGAAGCTTGTGCTTTGGCAGATGACATCCAGCAATTTCCCGAAGGTGACAAAGCAGTTGTTGGAGAGCGTGGTGCGGCTCTCAGTGGAGGCCAGCGGGCAAGAGTAAGCTTAGCACGTGCAGCCTACGCCAATGCAGACCTGTACTTGTTAGATGACCCCCTTAGTGCGCTGGATTCTAAGGTTGGGCTGCACATCTTTACCAAATGCATCAAAGGCCTACTAGGACAGAAAACCAGATTGATTGCTTCTCATCACCAACAACTTATGAGAGAAGCTGATGAAGTAATTTTATTATTTAAAGGCGAAATCTTAGATAAGGGACGTTTTGATGACCTGAAAGCAAAGGGTCTTTTAAATACGACTGTTGATCCACCATATAAGAAAGCTAAGGACTCAGATGAGAGCTTTGGTGAGCAAGGAGAAGAAAAAGATGAGATTTCTGACACATCAAATAAAACAAACCTCAACACCAATGTATGTAAGACTCTTCGCTTATCAGAAGAAGATCGAGCGATCGGAGTGGTGTCTACAAGACTGTATTGTAACTTCTTCAGAAGCGGAGCCCCTTTACCAGTGATCATTGCAGGAATTTGCTTCTGTCTTATTGCTCAAGGTAATCAAAGGTTTTTTGCGACCAAGTTTTAAAACATTGACAGCATTTGAACTTTCAAGAACAAACTCCAACAAAAATCCGTGGAAGATTTATTTTAGATAAACCATTTTCCAAGCCTTTAAAGAGGCTATGTCACCAGGATATTGCTGTTTAAGTCAATTCTGTGCTGAGGTCATTTCTTAGTGCCTTTATGTATACACAAATTCTTCTCTACAGTTATGAAGAAGATATCAAACAAATTTTATCAGGGAGCACTAACCATAACATTTTTTCTGGTAATTTTTACATTTTGTAGGCATAGCATCAAAACTTGAAACGGATGGGCCGAATTTTTTCAATTTTCTATTCACGTCCATCCCCGCTTGCCATCCGTTGGTAGCATTTCACGACAGAAAACGGTTTCAATGCGTACATAAATACTAGTCTTAATAACACAACTCTACCCTTATTTTTGGAATTCGATGCGATGAAATGCATTAGCTTTTGAAAAAATAGCAAATGGCGTGACATAGCCTATTTAAATATATCCAAAAATTAAATCAGGAACGAGAGTAGTAAGCACATTCCTTGATTAAGACGTAATCTCAGTTAAGGCAGGGGTGGATCCAGATATGATTGGGTTCATGGGGTCTCAACCCCACTAAATACAACCAGAGGCCAAAATAGATGAAAATACACGTAACCCATTAGAAAGTTATTTGCAGTTAATATGAGGATGATTTAATTTCAACAACGTGCTATTTTTTAGCAATGCTTGTGTCTCCTGACGTGTGGCTGTCGTTGTTGACAAGGAAACAATCAGAGTATAAACGAGACAAGAAGAACTTGACCATCTATGGTCTTCTCGTGGGTGCCGCATTCATATTTCTCGTCATTCGAGCGTTTGGCTTCTATCTGGTATGTGTAAGATGTTCTGAGCGTCTTCATGATAGAATGGTCGAAGCTGTTCTACATGCACCAGTCTTTTTCTTTGATTCAAATCCCGTGGGAAGAATTATGAATAGGTTTTCCAAAGACGTAGGCAGCATGGACGAAGTACTGCCTAAAACATTTTTGCGGTCAATTCAGCTCATCTTACTCCTGCTGATGACCATTCTCGTGCCGACAGTCACAAACCCTTGGATTTTGCTTGTTGTTACGCCAATAGCTGTGTTGGCGGGACTGTGGTCAAGATATTACCTTAAGACATCTAGGGAGCTGCAAAGGTTGGAGTCTATCTGTCGCAGTCCTGTATATTCTCATATTTCGGAAACACTGGATGGACTGGATACAATAAGAACAAGGAAGAAAGAAGGGGATTTCGTTTCTCGCTTTCACAGGTATCATGTCACACATTCGTCGTATCTTTTAGGTTAATTTCACTTTGTTTTTTTATTATTTTTAGAGTTTGGCTATCTAAACGGGTGCAAAAGTGAGCAGGGAAAAACAATTATTTATTATATTTTCTTTTTTTTTGCATGACTCAAATAATTAGGGAATTTTACAAAGTTTTAGAATGAAAGGTCGCGAACTGAAGGCAGTCGCGATTTGTACCTCAACAACCGAGAGTTTTGCTTTTTTTTTATCTTATTATCGGAAACGCCGTTACAGGGGCACGAAAACCATAGTGGATATTGCTTCTGTTCACACATAAGAACAGTGATTTCGGCGATATTTCTGTAACGGGACAAAGCTGCGCCGCGCCGACCTCTAAAGTGGGAAGTCACATATTGGATAGGTGTTCATACTATAAAGGAATATAGGTATTATTTATGACTTATTTAGAAATGGTTTTGATCAGTGTTACGTTCTTGCGAAAAAACTATCGCCTTTTCTGCAGGCTATGGGGTATCCAACTTTGCAAGTCACTAACATTCACGCGCTGAGCGCGCAAAGAATTTATAAATCTTGCTTCACGAGGAACAAACACGTTCAGAAGAGGTAGGAATTCTGGACCAAACCGCTTAGAAAAAAATCCGAGAAACCCTTGGGGGCTTCTTCTGGCCCCACAACCTAATTGAACTATGTCGTAGGTAGAGGCTTTTCTAGCAGTTGTAACTGTAAAAAAAGGTGTCAAAAGTACATTCCTTGTTGGTTGTAGGTGTCAAGATGTACATACAAAATCGTTTATCGTGTTACTTGCCAGTGGGCGATGGCTTGGTGTACGGTTGGACATTTTTTCTTCTCTGTTGACTGGTGCAGTGGCCCTTGCTGCCGTTTTGGTTTCAGAAGATCCTGGTATGTACCGTGTTTGTTAATAATTGTCATAAGACTACTGCAAAGATGGTTCAAAGAACGTGTTAAGAATTGACCTCACTCTTTTAGGCTGAATTGTGTTATAATTTCATCACTGTCAACACTGTCCTTTTTGCCATGGCAGTGATCGATCACTGATCGATTACTGATCTCGTAGTACATGTGCATTTAAAACACTGCGTATGGCCGAGTTGGGTCCTGATTCAGCATTCCCCGCTCCTTTTTTAAGACAATCTCGCATCCCGAACTTCTCCCGTTTTCTTTTCCAATACCGCGAATCCTGCTTCCACCGGAACAGTCAAATCCCGCATCACATCAAGAAATTTTGCTTTTTCCCGAATCCCCCAATGTATTTCAATCAAATCACGGATCCCGAGAATATCCTTCCAGACCCTCAGTAAAGACTCAGAACTTAAGCGTGTATTGTAGTCTTTTAACCGCCGCCTTCCCGTAGCTGAAGCAGTTGGTAAGTCAACGGACTGTTCCTATGTGAGGCTCAGGATTAGGAATCCATGAGTTTGGACCACAAACCATTAAGTTTCAAAAAACACCAAGGAAACCATGAAAGCGTGAGAAGATTCCACGTATGGGTATAGGTTGCGTATGGACTCGGTCGCCAAATAAATTCCCACACCACAAAACAAAAGTAACCAACAATGGCTTCCGAAACACTACGGAATTTCCTTTAACTTGAAACCTTCTCCAATCTCTATCTTGAATGCTCAAATTTTGAATCTGAGTTTGCCCCGGTAGGTTGTTAAGTTTAAGTTTTGTCTGGATTGAGAATTTTCTCTTGTTTCCTTGCAGCCCTCGTTGGACTATCTCTGGTTTACGTAGTCCAGACCGTGAATCTGACACAATTTGCTGTCCGTCAGTTAACCGAGGTTGAAAATCTTATGACAGCAGTTGAACGAGTTATCACTTACACTGAGCTCGACCCTGAACCTGGTTACAAAGTCAAGCAACTTCCCCCGGAAAATTGGCCAGACAAAGGAAGTGTCACATTTCAAGATGTTTCCATGACGTATCATCCAGGGGGTCCACAAGTTCTAAGGAATATTTCTTTAAGCATCAAAGCAGGAGCTAAGATTGGAGTTGTGGGACGCACGGGGTCAGGGAAGTCTTCCTTCGCGGCGGCACTAATGCGTATGCCTGAAGCTGAAGGAGATATTTTGATTGATGACGTATTGTTAAGAAATATCAATCTAAAAGAGTCTCGACGAGCAATAACCGTCCTTGGTCAAAATCCTGCTCTTTTTAGTGGATCGTTAAGAAAAAACCTCGACGTAATAGAACAATTTCAAGACGCCGAACTATGGCAGGCTCTGGAGCAAGTGCAAGTGAAAAATCTTGTGGAGAGTTTGGAGGGTCAGTTGGATTACGAGTTGTTGGAGAATGGTGCAAATTTAAGTATAGGAGAACGGCAACTAATCTGCTTGGCTCGAGTGCTGCTGCATCAAAAGAAAATCGTCATCTTGGATGAGCCCACTGCACACGTGGATCCTGACACAGAACGAACAATCTGGAACGTTGTGCATGAAAAATTGAGTGACTCGACTGTTATAACAGTAGCTCATCGGTTAAATACCATCACAAACTGTGACAAGATCTTAGTTTTAGATAGTGGGGAAGTTAATGGGTTTGATAGCTTCCAAGTACTATGTAACAGACCCGGAAATAAGTTGCACGAAATGGCTCAAAAGTCAGAAGACCCAAAATAGAGGTGAGCTGTCCTCAATGTAGACTGTTTAGCTTATTACGAATTCATTCGAATTTCCACAATTCAAGGTGTTTAACGTGTTGTCAAGCCTGATGCCTCGCACAATTGCAGTAAGGCCTTCCTCTAAGTTTTAGGGATCATTATTGATTTCTTTGTTTATATGAAAGCTCTAAGTGCTTAATAAGTAAGTTTTAAAGGATCTAAAACCTGAATGATGGTCCATTTTGAGGAAAATAAATTAAGTTTCTTTTGAGCATTTTGAAAATTGTGGACAACGTCTGCAACGGTGCTTTTGAATTCTTCGATACTTATCTCAGAAGTCACTCAAAGGAATATACTATAAGAAGTTTGGTATAGTAGATCGGTTTTGAGAATTTATCGTCTAAATACCTTTTCCAACAGACTGCCGAAAGTTGTATGGAAAATATATTATACTTATACTTATACTTATACTTATATTATTCACCGCAAACGTAGGCGAACGGACGTGTATCCTGTTTATCGTGACACTTTGATCTAACTTTTTACTGCTATTGTTTATGCGTTTTCGTAAATGGCATTTATACTCAGTTTTAGTTTTAGGTTTCCAAAGCATTGAAAATGAAATTTTCATAACAGTGAACACCGTGAATTAGAGCCAGTATTAGTGATGGCAACTTGGTTAAATACGCTGATGATTTCACGACCCTTCAGACTTCGATTATGAAGGACTATTCGGATAAATCTTCATACTAAGTTCATCAATATCTTGGGCTGGTCGAAGGCTAGGACAATCGTATGTCATGTAACTACAATAGATGTAAAGGACTTGTTTTAATTTCAGGAAACGGACCCGGGGCCACTCAAAGAATCGAAGTCTTAAATGGGAAGGCTCCGCTCTGAGGTCCAACTCCCTATCCATTTTTGACAGGAAAGGTACCCCCTTTTAATGGAATACCTTCACTGAAAAATGGTACCGCATTCACATACCTACTTAAATAAAAAGCCTGTAACTTATAATAACTATTTAAAATGGGTGCGTCTTTCCAAAATATTTTACTTGAAGGCCTTTTCAAACACTCAAATGCCATATTTTCCTACTCTTTCATGTATAATTCAACTCATATACTTATATATATGATATACTTGAAGCCTGAAAAGGATACCCCATTCGGATATGAGTGCCATTTTAGCATTTCTTATCTGAACTCCTTATATCCATAGTTTTCCTTACTAGTATTGCTAATTATGCTACATTTTTTTTGCTTTCTCTTCGGATTCACGTTATTTCTTTCCGGACTTTTAAACTTTGTAATTATTACTAGAAGACTATTATTTTTTTGTTACCCTCCAATCTTTTTCAGCCCCAAAGTGCCTATTCAGTTCTTTGGTCCCTGAAGCTGATTTGACCCATAGTGGAGTTATTTTATTAAGTTGATCTACAGCGAAAACCGATTGTGGGGTCACTGTCGCCAGTGATAATGAATACTTTAAATTGAATTTTGTTAGTTATATAAGACTAACAATTTCATTAAAATTATTTTTAATGTGTCTAATTTAGAGAAAGCATTAGTGTTAAAAAAGGCTCTGTAAAAAAGCCTACCGCTGGTTTCCCCGCCAAATGACGTCTGAGAAAACGGGTGCAGAAATTGCACACTGATGACGCGTCACTACCGAGATCTGGGTAGTGGCAGTGTTGCCAAAAAAATGTCGGCTGTTTTCTCAGACTATCTGTAAACATGATGAGATTAAAAAATTATGATCCTTAGACCATTTGTGTAAATCTGCAGGTCCGGGATGATAGCAAGAGAGAATGGGCAAGGAAAGCGAATCTCTATACCCCATGATCATTATTTGAAATCTTTTTTAAGTTCGAGCGATTGCTGCGAAGGCTATTTTTGTCTATTGTTTCCGTGAGCCACGCGGTCTACTGTCACGTGAACGTGTTAAGTTCGCACGTCATGTTGCTTACTGTGCGTGATCTGCAGTTGATCGGCAGTAAAATGAATCAATTACCCGCCAAGTTTAGAACACATGACGCTATTCTAACCGACCGATGAGGTGTCGTTCTTCAAATAACCACGCAGTATTACACAGAAGCAAGAACAGACTTCGAATAATGTTCATGGAAAGAGGGTCATGTATGAGGGATTCGCTATCTTATCTCATTCCCTCTTGGATTACAGCTAACTTCTGAAGTTTAGTCCAGTCAAACTCCTAATTGTCGGTATCAAACCGCCCCCTCGGAATGCCTAAGGGAACCGCCACCAAGATCCAGAACTAATTTACAAAATTGTAACTGGTAAGCAACAAATTTAACAATCCATTGAAGGAAAAAACTTACTAAAACTTTAAAATAGATATAATTTAACTTATTTCGCTTTAATAATTACATCGCTGAAGTATGCCAAAAAAACCAATGTCAGGAGTGGGATTCGAACCCACGCCTCCATTCGGAGACCAGAACGCCCGCTCCCATTGCTTAATGGGAAGGTATAATGACCTTGAGTCTGGCGCCTTAGACCGCTCGGCCATCCTGACATCGGCTATTGTGAACTTTTTTGCAGTATCTTAATATATAGATTAAGCCAGGGCTAAAAGCGAAGCTCCAATTTTAATAAATTTATAATTTAAATCAAACAATAAACTTTCAATCCAAAAATCATTTAACTTAGGGGCACATTCATGTGACTTTTGAGGGAAAGGCTAAGTTATTTTAGAGTGAAACATCTCACATCGAATTGATAACCTTATATGTACACCCAAAAAATAGCAAACATCTTCGGTCACATTCAAGATCACAGTAGATTAGGACTCGAAAACAAATT